GGGAGTTCCGTCGCAGATCCGGTGACGTCACCGGATCTGCGACGGAACTCCCGGAAGCCAGGGGAGAGGTGAGTATCGATCAAAATAATTTTGATCGATCAAAAAAATTAACGATTAATCGAGGGATTAATCGTTAATTTCCGCAGCCCTACAATTTAGTAATTCATTGTCACAAATTGTCATAAAACGCCAACATTATTGGAGCCACGCTGTGTACTTTGTTCAGGCCTAGTTCACACCTAGGCGACAGCGTTTTTGATGCACTTTTTTGCGTGTTTTTATGCGCATATGGCAAAAAAATTGTTTTTGTGAGCAGATTGTAGCTAATTGATGTTAATGACACACAAAAACACAGCAAACGTGCGTTTTCAAGCATTTTCTATTGAGTCTATGGGGCCAAAACGAGCTGTAATATGTTAAAACAAAGCTCCTGTACTTTTTCCAGTGACAGGCGTTTTGCTTATTGCGACAAAACGCTCAGATGTGAACAGGGCCATAGAAATGAATAGGATTTTTGGGGGGCAGATTTTTTGAGCGTTTTTTAGGGCAGAAAAAGCACTACAAAACGCTCAGTGTGAACCAGGCCTTAGAGCGACTGTAGCCAAACGCCTGTGGCTGGTAAAAGTCCATGAGCTACTTTTCAGCATTTCTGGCCCAGTTGATTTCAATGGGAACGTCTGTAAAGGTGCAACACATTCATTAAGCTTTTCTTTTGCATTTGTCATGCATTTTCAAAAGAAGCTGCTCTGCTTGTAAATACGCCTGCAAAAAACATTGAAAACACATGTAAATGTGCATAAAACACTTTTAAAAAAAGGCTAAAAATGCTGACGTGAAGGTGTGGACAGAGCCTGACTCTGCCCCAAAGGACATTAATGTACTTATTTGAGATACAGGCCTTTTGCTGCAAGTGACAAAACGCTCACATGTGTATAGGGGCCTCCTTTTGAGCATTGTAGCACTTAGGTTCTGTTCACACCTAGGTGTTTCCTCGCACGACAAAAGACACACAAAGTCCCCCATTGAAGTCAATGGGACCAAAAAGAGCTGTCATCTGCCAAAAAAGCTTAGGTATGTTTTCCAGCAATAGGTGTTTTTCTGCTTGCGACAAAACGCTCAGGTGTGAACAGGGGCCATAGACATGAATGGGATTCCTTGTCTTCAGCATTTTATTGTTTACCTTTGAGTAACAAAATGCCCACGTGCATACACCGTTCAGGGAGCTAGTTAAGGGGGCGTGGTGGGTGTAAGGGCCAGTTTACATCATAACCACAGAACCACACATTGGGTACACTGCATTGGCATTCATTTTGAATTGCACGCCAACGCACCTCCCAGCGTGCATTTGTTGCCGTGCAGGACACTGTAAAAACACGAGTTGTATTGCTGCACGGTGATAAAAGTAGAGCATGCATTGCGGTATATGTTGTTGTTGTAGTGCCGCACTTTGTGGGGCATGTAGTACGGTACCAGGCATTTAGCGCAACACTATAGTGTGACTGGGCTAGGGTTGCCACCTGTGTTCTGGCAAAATACAGACCAGCATTACGGGGGTTACTTAACCACTTCAGTACCAATGTACATTTACAAAGATCTGGTACTGTAATCTTGGTAACATTTTCTTCATCCAGGTGCCCGGCTTTAACATACAAGTGTACAACCGTCTGATCACTTGAATGGTCCTGGAGTATGTGGTGCCCCTCCGCTGCTGGCTACCTCAGGCTCCACTGTCCCACTTGCAGGACCAGCATGACATGTGTTTGCTGCTGGTTTTGAGGGAGATCAAGACAGTTCCTCTGTCTGATCTGCTCTCCAGTATCTGAAACCAGAAGCAACGTATATTTCATCACTTCCAGTTTCAGGCTGTCATTTCTCCAGCTGATGTTGCAGTCTCTGCTTTACCAGTTTCAATGGGGTGCATAGGTGGCATTAAGGGTCTAATAGACCCCTGATATCTCCATAAAGAGGACCGGTCACTTCCTCCGCATTATCATATACAGGGTGTATTGTGTTCTGTTTCTGTGCGCTACAATTC